TTGTCATAGAAGATTCTTCCTATGACAAATATTGGGCGAGTCAACTTCGTTCCGCGCTTTACACGCTGAAAGATTTACTCGCTGGCGTTCATAATAGAGCTCCTAGAACTCTATGATGCGCAAACACTACAACAATATCTGTTCATAGAAGAATCTTTCCCTATGATGAAATAGTGTTCATAGCGAGAGCGTATATGCATATGTCGTAATTTGTCCTAGATGCAAGCAAGAACGAGCTAGCTGGAATACCAGAAGAGGACGACGAGCCGCAGTGATGCTGGGAGCCGTCAGATCGCGGCGCTATCTGCACGCCGCGGTACAGCCGAGGCCCCGCGACCGCCATGTCATGATCTTTAATTTCCATGTCAAGGTAAAATGAATTTTTATGAGCATCTGAGAGACTCGACGTGCTGCCTGCTACCTGCCTACCTGCCCTGCCTGCTTGCGATGCGCTACGCTGACTACGCTGCTACCTGCCTTTGCCTGCACTGCCTGCAGATGCATACTCATGTCTGCATGCTACCTCCGCTACCTGCCTGCTTCCTGGCCTGCCCAGCCTGCTGCCGTGCCTGCGCTGCCTACCTGCTGCTTACCTGCCTGCCTGCCTGTCTGCCTGCCTGCCTGCCTGGCCTGCTGCTGCCTGCCTGCCTGCCTGCCATGCATACATGGTCTGCATGCCTACCTACCTACGCTGCCTGCCTTCTTGCCTGCCACTCCTGCCTGCCTGTCTGCCGTTGCCTGTCTTGCCTGCGCGGCCTGTCTGCCTGTCTGTTTACATGCTGCTGCCAGCCTGCCTGCCTGCCTACGTTACCTATCTACCTACCTATCCTACCTGCCTACGGCTGGCCTGCCGCTGCCTGCCTGCCTGCCTGCCTCTGGCCTGTCTGGCCTGCATGCATCGGCCTGCAATGTCTGGCTTGCAATGCGTACCTACTGCCTGCCTGTCTACATGGCATGCCCTGCATGTCTGCATCGCATGCCTACTTTACCGTACCCTACTCTGCCTATGGCGATGTTGTTTGTGTCATAATTGATTTTTGTTTTATGGTTGATTTAATCGATATAATTCGATTTATCACATATACATTCGATTTATCGGGCCGATTATTATATTGATTCACAGCATCGAATGCATTCCGATTCACGCATCGAAATGAGTTCGATGCATACATTCGATGCGTCATGCGAATGATTCGATGGCGCGAATCGAATGATTCGAATGCATCATTCGATTGCACGCATCGAAGTGATTCGATTCACGCAAATCGAATCATGTCGATCACCGCATCGAATGATGCATCGAATCATTCGATGCGTGAATGCGAATGGATTGCGATGGCGTGAATCGAATGATTCGATGCGTTTGAATCGAATGGATCGATGCGTGAATCGAATGTTCGACTGCGTGCGAATCGAATGATGGCATCGAATCATTCGATTCCACGCATCGAATGCATTTCGATTCACGCATCGAACACTCGCACGCATCGAAATCCAATTCGATTCCCGCCATCGAATCATTCGATGCATCATTGCGATGCGTGAAATCGAATGATTCGATGCGTCTGAATCGAATCGCATTCGATGCAATCATTCGATTCAGCCGCGATCGAATCAATTCGATTCACGCAATCGATGCATGCATCGGAATGATTCGATGCGTGAATCGAAATTCGATGCGTGAGATCGAAATGATTCGAGTGGCGTGAGATCGGAATGATGTTCGATGGCGTGAATCGAATGATTCGATGCGTGATCGTATGATTCGATGCGTGAATTCGAATTGTATTCGATTGCGCCGAATTCGAATGATTCGAATGCGATGCATTCGATTCACAGCATGCGAATCATTGCGATTCAATTCGCATACGAATGCATTCCGATTCACGCATCGGAATCATTCGATCACGCTGAATCATTCTGATTCCCACGGCATCGAATCATTCGATGCATCATTCGACTGCGTGAATCGAATGATTCAGATGCGGCGAATCGAATGATTCGATGTCATCAATCGATTCACGCATCGAATCATTCGACTCACGGTCATCGAATCATTCGATTCACAGCATCGAATCATGTCGCATGGCATATTGATGCGTGAATCGAATGATTCGTATGCGTGAATCGAATGATTCGAGTGCGTGAATCGAATGCTGCATCGAATCATTTTCGATTCACGCATCGAATCATTCGATTCACGCATCGAATTTCATTTCGATTCAGCGCATCGAATGATGCATCGAATGATTCGATGCGTGAAGCGCGGGAGAGGCCGCAGTCTTTGTGCGGCACGGCGCCTCGCCAATTCCGTGACCGTCGGCGTCGAAGACGGGGCGTAGAGTACGAGCGAGTTAAGATTTGTGGCCCCAACTGGTTGACCGGACGGACCCGCGACGCACCCGCCGCCCGGTTGCCTCCCGTTCAGCCACGGACCACGGCCG